GGAGATAAAAATAAGGAGTTTGGGGGTTATCCCAAGCAATCACTAACAGCCAAATTCTTTTCAAAATTTAGTTCTCTGTACCATTTATATCATTTGGTTCAAAGGAGGCACTGTATATTAAAGCGTATATGTGATTGTGTATTTTAATACAAAACTCTAGTTTCCTAAGGTTATATAGGAAACATCTTCTTGTCAAACTGACTACATTCACATATTTAAAAAGATATAAATATCTATCTCCAGATTATGGTCTGGAGGTAGTCTACTTTTTTAAAAGTCTATGTTTCCCCAGTTTAGCATAAATATAAATCATTATGTATTCCCATTTTTTACAAAACAAACAGGGAGGCAAATATGTTATGTTTTCTGTAGGCGAAGGACTTTTCTTCTTTCCTTACTATAAACCATTTCCTTATGTCAAAAAATAGCAAGAGATGGGGCTGGGATGTGGCTCAGTGGTAAAGTGCTTGTCTAGCATGCATGAGGCACTGGATTTGATCCTCAGCACCACACAAATGTAAAATAAAGTGTGCACCTAAAACTAAAAAATAAATATTTAAAAAAATAGCAAGAGACAGGCCAACACACGTACCCAATACCAGCATGGTTATTTAGGATCACAGCTAAGTATTTTGCAGAATTTGGTCTATGCACATTTATGAGTAAAAGATATACATGACAGTTAATTTTAAAAATTTAAACAGTTAACTATTTAATGTTAGTATCAGTTATAAACGATTGATACAATTTTATTGGTTTGGTTTAACTCACCTGTTAACATGCTTTCATTTACAATGCAAGTACCATTAATAAGTACTGCATCACAAGGCATGACTGTCCCATTTAAAGGAATGACCATCACATCTCCTGGCACAAGGTCCGTAGAAAATATCTCTTCTATTTCTGAATTTTAAGAAAGAAAAATCTGAAAAGAATATCCTTAAACTTGAAATAAAAGCAGGGCAAACAAATCAATGATCCATTCAAAGGTCTCTTGATCTTAGTGTTAACACAAAAATACTCATAAAT